CAGTCTGGTTTCCCAGCCCTCAGTGAGGTGGAAACATCTCGCTTTGTGGGGCAGGGTAGAGCGGTCGGAGTTGAACTGTCTTGTCCAGTTTCCGGCTGTGAAGCCCGGGGGCCAGGCCTGGAAGGGCACATTCTGGCGGAACATGTGGCCGAAGTGTTCCGGGACCTGGGGGTGTCTGACCCAGGGTTAGCTAGGGTGCGTCTCACCTCCGAGCACACTCTTCCGGGCCCTAGGGGGTTCTGCTGTGGGGAACCCCATCCAGTGGGTGATTGGATAGCTAGAGACTGTGGGGCTGACCCCAGAGGACCTGAGTGCTGAGTGGGTAGCCATGGCAGCGGTGTGCCGATTGGCACAGTGGGAGGTCCCCCGGACCTTCTGTCTGTCGCCGATAAACTCACCTGCAGTGCTCATGCATTGGAGGGCGCAGGTCGAGTTGATGGCTCTGTTACAGGATGGTCTGCGCCGGGCCTTTCTTGGGGAGGTTCACCTCAGCTCTAGTGAGCCATCCCAGGCGAGCTCCTCCAGTGAGCAGGGGAGTCCCCCAGCCATAGCAGGAGTTTTCTGTAGGTTGGGGACTCCAGTTTGCACACCAGAGTCTCCGAGGCCCATGGGGCAGGTAGGGGTGTTTAGCTCCAGGGGTTTTCCTCCCAGGTCCGTTCCCTCCCTCATGTCCCTTCCGTGTCCCAGTCCTACCCGGGCACTATCAGGTCTAGGGTCTAGAAGTTCACCTCTGTCTGTGGGGGCATGGGGATCGCCGCCGACGGGAGATTCGTCAGGGAGTAGGGGAGTGGAGTCCCGATTGTGCAGGGATCTGCCAGAGGCCTTTGATAGCCACATGCACCTGGATAGATCCCTAATCAAGATGGGAATGCCTCCTCGGACACCCTTGGGGGATTTCTTACGGCTAAGGTTGACCCCTGCTCCTGTGGGTCCAATCAAGCTGGCAGGAGGGGTGGCAGTCTTCTGTGATCCCAAGACCTGGCCCCGTGTGCCGCTTAGGCTGGAACCGGGATGGGTGGGGGCAGTGGGGATCCACCCCAAGAGTGCCGGGCAGTTTGAAGATGCCACTCAGCACCGGTTTCACCAGCTGGTAACTCACCCCAGTGTGTCTGCCCTTGGAGAGGTGGGGATGGATTTCACGGTTGAGGAAAGATTACAGGCCCGCCAGATCTCGACCTTGAGGTGGGCGCTCCAGTCGGGTCGCTTTAACCAGCCTGTGGTTTTGCACATAAGAGGCGACCGACTGGACCGGGTTCACGCCCGGGCTCATCGTGAGGTCTTGAAGGTGATGACGGGCCTGGCAATCAATCCGGTGCAACTCATTCACCTTCATTGCTTCCAGGGGGGATAGACCAGGTGAGGGAGTGGCAGAGCTCCTTCTGCAATGCATATTTTGGTTTTGGAATTGGCGTTCATTCCTTCAACACCGAGCAGAAGGACGCCATGAGGATGGTACCACCGCATCGAATCCTCCTGGAGAGTGACGCACCTTACTTTCCCCCGCCAAACGCACGACATGGCCACCCTCATCACTTGTTTGAGGTGGCTAAGGCAGTGGGGGAGGTGAGGGCAGAATCTCCACGGGAGATACTGCGGTTGGCACGCCTCAATGGTGGCCGTCTGTACGGAGTGACCACGTAGGCTGGCCTCTGTCCTCCTGTGTATATAGTTAGAACAAGAAGAGCCCGTTGGCTACAGTTAATGAATTTAGAGCCCGTTGGCTACAGTTAATGAATTATTAGCCCGTTGGCTATCAGTAATGAATTTAAAATTGAATTTAAATTGAGTTTGTATATAGTCTGCTCCAGGGGAAAATTACTAGGGGGTTCCATGGTCCTAGTGTTAAATGGGGGTTCCGTTTGTAGTAATTTAAGGGTCCCCATGTTTATTGTACTCCCCCCCCCCAAAAAAAAACCCTTTTTTATCCACACCAGTGTGATCGCCACCGGAATTGACCCCTCCCCCCTCTTTTGATTCAATCCTTTTTTTATAAAGTCAGAGGGAGTGTAGTACCTCGGGGTAGGGTCGGTGGTGCTCCACTGGCGGAGGAGACAGATACGGAAGACAGAGAGCCTCGTTCCGGATCTGTCAATCGAAAACTGGAAGCCAAAGCATATATACGCTGACAAGTCCAGCTGATTCGAATTAGTAATCGTTCCGAAGCATAGTTTCAGTCAAGGTAAGTTGTTAAAAAGCTTACATTAGGATAAAATAAATGTGGAATGTGTCCATGGGACACAGATGATGCCCCCGCTTGCATATAACGTTATAAAGGAACATACCTCAAGAACGATAAAAGTGACGCCACCCAAATTCTGATTTATCTGAGTTTTGTGGTAATAAGCATTGTGTGTAAGTTTCATAACATTTGGTTGAGGCAAACTTAAGTTAGAGAACGGAAACGAAAAATTCAGCAATTTTTCCATTTGTAAAGGGGCATTACTATAGAACGATAGAAGTGAAGCCACCAAAATTCAAACTTGATCTGTGTTTTGTGGTAATAAGCATTGTTTATAAGAGTCATAACATTTGGTTGAGGCAGACTTAAGTTAGAGAACGGAAACGAAAAATTCAGCAATTTTTCCATTAATTTGTAAAGGAGCATAACTCTTGAAAGGTAAAATTGACGCCACCCAAATTCAAACTTGATCTGTATTTTGTGGTAATAAGCATTGTGTATAAGTTTCATAACATTTGGTTGAGGCAAACTAAAGTTAGAGAACGGAAACCAATTTCGGGACGGACGGACGTACAGACGGACAAGGGTAAAACTTAATGCCCCCTCTGCATTCGTATATACCCCGACAGTTCTCAAGATAGAGTACATACTGACATCTCTGTGTTGTTATCCAATCACAAAACTCGACACAACTGTTAATCGTAATATATGCCAACGAGACAGCAACTCAACGATACAACAAACCGAATATATATATATAAACTTTAGGCATACATATCGCTTTTTATTCTTTTCTGTAAATTCAATGTTCATAAAGTGTTCAGGTTTTCTACCCCCGGCAATAATGGCTTCATCCAGATTTGTAACAGCTTTTGTTAATTTCTGGGTTTGAATGCTCTTCAACCTCGTTATCGATTTTGCTTTCCAGCTGTTTTAATTCGAGCTCGGTTGATACGTCTTGTGTACATGAAACGCGCTTCTTGTGCGTCTTGCAAGCTTAATCATAACACTGGAGCACTTTTCACAAAATATCTAACGACTAAAATATTGTAACTTATACGGAATTGTTATTTTTTCACGTATTTTTTTTTTAAATTGATCGATGCACTTTTACAATCACTGGGTCGATACCACAACTGGGGGAAAGTTTTTGTGTTTTGTCCCCGATGATATCACCAGAACAGTAACGTAGTCAGCGCTTTTCGCTCTTTCCAAATATTACTGATTGAAACTTTAATTTTCTGTTAAGGAGGAGGTATGATTAGAGCAAGATTAGAAAACTTCTTCAATTCTTTCCAAATAATTTGATATAACGGCCTTGTTTGGTTAATAATGCGCGCGTATATGTCAGCCATCATAGTAGTTATTTTCTGTGCCAATTGGCATTTCATTTACGCCACAAACCCTATTTCATTTGCGCCAAAATAAAAACATTTTATTTCCGCCAATTATACAGGTAAATAGTATAAATAATAGATTATTCATGAGAGCCTTGTAATAATACCTTTATTTTTAAACACAGTTTTTGGTTGCATAATAAAACATATCCATCACAAATCAGTCATCCTAAAACCACAACGAAAACACTATACACTGATTAGTTCTTAAAAAGAGACTTTTGATAATAATTTTAAAACTGAGTTTTATTATAAATCACAGGGATCAAAAAACCAAAAGTAAAATTATAAGTCTGTTCTAAGCACTATACACTGAAGTAAAATTGTTATTATGTACTGGCACAAAACTTGTAAGGAACGGTCCGGATAAACTCATCTCGGAAAATTTCGTCAAAAGATATATAAAGTTATTTTTTTCTTTCTTCCATCGTCTAACGAAAGCCGGTGTGTCCATGAATCTCACTGTTATATACGTTGTTGCCTGAATCTTCTTTACTACGTCCACATATTTGAAAATGTTTGGATGTTTTGAATAAAACTGATCGTTAAAATGTGCATGGAACGATTCTGGTCCGTTGATGGTTCTCTTGAAATTCTCAGTTGGTGCAAAGCAGAAAAAATATGGTGGATATCTTGATTCAGGGGTTATATATGTTTCCAAAACATAGTCAACAAACTTCATGCATTGCATTATCTGACGGAGATTCATTCAAACTGTCATAAACTAAGCAATCATCAATCTGATCAGGCTGTAAAAACGATTTCCTACACTGTCCACATATTGTTTTTATCCTGTAATCTACACCCGGGACTTTAAGGTTCAGTTGTTTAAATCAAAAGTCATGAATAGTTGTCTCTTGGTTTTTCAAAGAAATCGACATAGTTTAAACCGTTTGCTCAACATGGGAGCGGAGTAACAGGAGACTTTATTTGTACAAGTACAAATAAAACCAAATTTGTATTTCTGTATGTGTTATTTGTACGGTGATTACTTGGCTGATTGCAGGATGAACATTTATTTTCCCACATCGTTGTAGCAAAATATATTTTTGGGTAAGGTCTTGGCTAATCCTTAAATGTATACGGCAAATGACGCTATTATGGTTATTTTGCAGTTTTTAATTAAAAGTTTGAAACCTTAATGCAAATTTTAGGCATGATTTACAAAATAAATACTGATATCTGGCAGACATATGTCTTGTGAAAACCAAAATGATATATTGATAGATATGCCTTATTTTTTAATTTTCGTATTTAAGGGGCTAAAAAGTGCACTGATCATACCATCTCCTTTACTGTTCATAATTTCAAAACTAATCGAACGACTAAAATTTGTAATATCCTTGGTGAAAATGGCATATCCAGATTTGGTACAATTTTTTTTTAGATTTTCCTTGTTTTCACTACTTTACAATAAAACTTACACAGCATTAAAAACATCAGCGGTTTCGACTTCTTTAGTACTGTCCACATTCGCTTCGGAAGAAATCTCCATAATTTGAAGAATATCTATAACATACAATGACATAAACATTTAGAGGTGCTGATTTTGTGAATGTTTATGATAAGATAGTTGTGTTGTTAACACTTGTCATTCGTTTATGGAGCACTGAATTTGTTGATCTTAATAAAATGAATATACAATCATAGATGTTATCTTACAGGGCCGTTTCTATGATATTTGAAAGAGGGGGCGTAGAATGAAATCTTTCGCCGAGCGGAGCGATGCGAAAATATTTCTGGACTTTATTTTTGCTAAAAAACATAAAATAATTGTGAAATGCACTAATTTAACAATATAAGCAGATTACGAAAGTTTTTTTTTTTTTTTAAAAAGGGGGGGGGGGGGCGTACGCCCATTACGCCCTCACCTGGACCCGCCCCTGAATTCTTGTCGAAAACATTCTGAGAGATATGGTGCATTTTGCCTTTTTAGTGCAATACATCAAGTCAAATGATTATATATATGCCGACATATATAATGGACAACGACCTGTGAGGAAATAGCTCTCTTATTATCATGATTATATAGTTGTACAGTCGATATACAAGAGAGGTGACTGAAAACATTGAAAAGAAAATTTAAAAAATAAATACGTAAAATAAATAAAAGTACTTTCTTGGTCAATGTTGGTATTTTAATTGGTTGTTATGTGTGCTCCTCAAAATTCTGTCACAGACCAGTATCCTAATCAATTAACATGATTAAAACCTGTTTATGCTTGTAAATATGTAATATGAACATCTTTTAGGCATGTGTTTCTCGACAGACATGACAAGATATTTATCGGCCTAGGTTAATGTTACACTCTGTCTTCAGTTTTATGAAATAATTCCGAGTAAACATCAGAGAATTCTTGAAAAAGTGTCAAAAAATTAAAGTACCGTATGACAGGGAAACAATCAAGATATGTTTACAATAGCTATAATTACCAAATATAAGTTCTTTTCTCAAATTGAAACTTAAAACTTACAAAAACTGGCAAGGAAAAGCCTTGCATGATGTTTCATGTGTCATAAAGTTTCTATATCATATGCCTTTTAAGATAAAAAGCAAATTAAATGACCCCTTTGAAAACTCTATCAAAATGTTCAATTTATAGACTTGCTGTAAGAGTAAAATGTTGCGTGTACAACACAATCTGTGTCTCTAATTACACAAAAAAAGGAGCTTCTACATTCCATGAATGGTGTAACACTTGTCTGAAGATAATATAATTTTTTACCTCTCTTTATCTCAATTGCTTCCGAGAAAATTTTAAGTGTACATGCAACAGCAACAAAAACAACAATAACGATTGTAATAATGTGTACGTCGCCCAAATTATCTGCCTGAGTAAACAATTAAATGTTTCTTTGCACTCATAAAATACGCCAGTGGATTAATAAACATACTTAAGCATTGGCTTGCAGGGGCGGATCCAGGATTTAAGGTTAGGGAAGGGGGGGGGGGGGGGGGTTAAGTATAATGTATACAAGCTGAAGCCCCGCCTATCTATTGATTGTAGATGTCAATCTTAATTACAATGCCTGAGCAAACATTTATACAAACAAAGAAAGCAAGCATTAGGAAATTAGCTCTAAATGTTTTAAATCATGACGTTTCAAACATTAAACAAATATGTTGTGCTGCCAGAGGGTTGGGAGCCAGCAAACAAATTTAATCCCGCTTCATTCTGTATGTGCCAGGCCAAACCCAGGAGCCTGTAATTTATTGTTAACTTTGTCGTTTGTCATATTTGTTTTCGTTCACCGTTTTTTACATTTATAAATCAGGCCGTTAGTTATCTCGTTTGAATTATTTTACATTTGTCATTCGGGGTCTTTTATAGTTTGCTATGCAATATGGGTTTCGCTCGTTGAATATTAAAGATAGTACGGTAACCTATAGTTGTTAACTTCTAAGTCATTTGGTCTCTGTTGCCTCATTTGTAATCATACCACACCTCTTATTCTAATATATCGATATACAGTGCCTATAGCCATGATAGCATATTTAATAGAAAAAAAATACGTTTTTTTTTTAAACTTCAACATGAAAGGAAATGGCAAAGGATTACTCTGGTTGTGGCAACATATTCTGCCACACACAAATAATTCTAAAAGATTAGACAGAACTCTTTTCAAAATCATTAATTACTCATGGATGCATTAATTATATTGAAGCATGATCTTAAACTACAGATAGGTAATATATATATAACGTAACAGTACTCAAATTGCACCCATTTAGAAAAAAAACTGCGGAAATCTTCTTCATGTTCTTTCAAGTTTTCTTAAAGTCTAAACAATTTGTATTTTTATGATTTGACATTATGCACGTCTTTCGACATAGCTAAATATACACAAAACGATCACAGTATCATGTATCAACAGATGAAGTATTGTAAGAAAACGTAAAATCTACGGAAACGTCGATATGCGACGTCCACAAAAAGTCAACTTTTCAAAATGAGCTATAAAAATATTTTACTGTACATGTAGGCATCCATTTCTAAAAAAATGAATAGTTAGCATGGACTGTTGTCAAATTGTTCTAATTACTCGGAGAAACAAAACAAAACATAGGTTATTCGATTTTTATAATTTGGGTACTCCTCACTCGGGTCCTCACTACGGAATCATGGGTCGTTTGGACAGTTGGAGGTCAATTCAAACCCATTTTTCTATGATTCAATATGGATTCAAAATTAAATTTGCGGAACTATATAGTAAATAATGATAGGTCTACAAAATAAGAACAGAATCTGAGAATGGAAACTTTTGTCTGGATCATAAAAAACAAAAAACGTAGGTGAAAAAACTGTTAAAATAGGTGCAATTTGGGTAAATACAGATATTCAAAGGTCATACAAAATAAAAGTGATAAATGCAAGTTTGATACGAGTTACTTACTATTCTATACAAATGATCTTTACAATCTGCAGAAGGCTGACCAAAATGGCGTGTGTTGTGCAGACTGACACGTCACGCATGTGTATATCTATAAATAGCAACATTGCTTTTAAATTTTATGATGTGTACGGAACAGTGGGCAAACTGATGACATATGAAACAAAATCTAATCTATAGATTGTTTACGTCGGGATCCATACTTATTATCAAAAATCGTATACATTTTTATGGAATTACCTCTTAAACCATAAATGTCAAAGCTTTATATTTATGCTAGAGTATTTATGATTTAAGTATTCTACATTTCACATACTGGAATCTGATAGTAAGATCAAGTAAGTAAGTAAATTTTATTTAGTCGGCACATTATGTACAATCAACAAAAAACATAAGCACTTGCAACCGACTGTAACATATATACAAAATATCACTATACAACAAGGTTTCAAATAAGACAAGTACACTTAACATGCCGAAAAATGTTAGCACATATAATTTTAAAGATAATGTACCCTTTCGTTGTTTTTTTTTAATTTAAAATTGACACTTATGTACTTAAAAGTGGATAACTGAATGCAGTGCTAGCAATGATTTCCCTGAAACAAAATTTTAAATAAAGATATTAGCTTAAACAAGTACAAACATGGACCTATTCAAGTATACCTGTAGGGTGCGCTCGACTTTTGTGACTCGACACGAGCTTTTTTTTTTGGATTGTAAAGGTTGTTTAGGACTTCTTGTAAACAATAAAGGCTAGCACAACATGAATAAACAAGTGAATTATATATGTTTACGTATGTATGTATAAATCTGAGGATTTTCTTTAAGAATCTTGTCTTGAGGAGCCATGCACGAAATCCACATTTTCTATTAAATACTATCAATGTGAACGACTAACACTTTTGAAATTAAGAGTGCATTTCTTTCTAACCAAAATTTTGTAAACGTTGTGTGGCGTTTGTTGTTGTTTTCTAAACGCTACAAAAGTAGAAACTAATACATCGTTAAATCAGTGTTTACTGACCCTGTTTGAACTTCCAATAATGCATGCACATATTGTTGGTAAACAGACTTATTACAAACGTAGAAACAAATACATCGTTTAATCAGGTTGAAGTTAGAAACAAATGTAGCGTTTGTACTAACAAACGATGAACGACAAACTGTAGACGCATTTTGAGCGAGTGCATAGTTTGTCAAAGTTTATGTAAACTTTGCAAACGTATGTTAGAAACAAATGATCAAAACATGTGCGCGCTTAGCCGTTTGCATCGTTTGTGTTAGAAAGAAATGCACTCTAAGTTACTAAGCAAATTCAAACGGACATTATCCCGATGTAAACGTCGCAAGTGTATAGATCTAAAAGACCGCAAAAACATGCACAGAAAAAAAGTATTATAACAAAAATACTGAACTCCAAGGCAAATTCATAAAGGGGAAGTCCATAATAACTGACAAAATCAAACGCTTTTAATCAACGGAGCAAGTTAAAGACAACTGCCATATTCCTGACATGTACAGGCATTTTCCGAAGAAAATGGTGGGTTAAACCTGGTTTTATAGCTAGCTAAACCTCTCACTTGTATGACAGTTGTTTATAGATCCTGTATTTTGACAAAAAATGAAAATCGGGACGTCCTTTTCTTAAAATTGTACAAAAATATAGTAACAATCTTTTAACAAATAACCTACTTTTTAAAAATATTGATCTTTAATTGCACGGACACAACTTTTAAATGGTTGTATTCACGAAAAGAGAATATTTCTATATTGAAAGTTTGCGTGACAAGAGCAGACTGGTGTACTCTAAAACTTAGATGTGAATACAAAAAAAATGTTCGGGTGGAAAATTTGACCGAAAATGATACATTCAATAATCTGTTCAAAAATCAAAAGAATTGTTAGAAAGAATGCATAATCATCCTAAACTGTTATCAAAGCAGTTATAAAGTACTACGGTATCACATAAATCTTTACGTTTCTACCGGCGCGGTTGTGTGTTTCAAGGCTGTACCTCTCAAGTCCGAGATAAAGAGGAAGTAAATATAGGCCAAAAAGTTTTAATGGAACAGAGGAGTTGTTTTCGGGCATGTGAATTATTATGACACTCATGTCCAGTTTTTACTTGCCGTGAGATTATTATTATACAAATGTTCATTAGAACTACTGTAATCCAACATATGTCTGGCATGAGGTTCTTTTCCTTACGTTACGATTTAATAATAGTCATTTGGTCTTGTTATCACATTCGAATGTGTTATGATGCTTAAAGTTTTTATTTCAATGGATGTAGTCTGATATCGTCCTGGATAGTATTCTATGGTGAACTGAAGGTAAAAAAGAGCTTTGATAAAATATTGTCCTGCAATTAATAAACTACACGTCGTTTGTTCGTTCGTCGGATGTTATAGTTATGAACATTGAAGAGTTGCTGGAGGGTGATAACGCATAAGTGTTTAGGAGTTTTATTATGAAATATTTCATGAAATTTAAGGATTTTGTGTTTTCTCCGTCTTTCAGATAACATCTCGCGTAATACAATTTATTTTTATGGGAGTTTTGTACCACCAGTAGCTATAGCTTTTAATAGACATTTTCGAAAATCGTCTACGCAGACAATTATACCGACACCGATACCTACACTGACAAAAAAAAAGAGGGACCGTATCAAAATTTCGATATATTCTGAAAGAATAACCTCGTAAAACTTGGTTGGATTCAGCAGAGGTTAAAGATATAAATTCTGTAATTGGTTTTTATCATATACTTTTTTTTATTCGGAATCGGACCTAGAAACACCGAGTGCTATCATTAGTTTTGGATTTTTTTGTTTGTGATATTCCATCTGGTTCTTTCTAATTGTATCATTCAACGAATATGATTTTCGTTTTCCATGTTTGCAACCGTTCACAATGAGATTTCTGTACATGTATGTATATAGATATAAGAAGATGTGGTATGAGTGCCAATGAGACAACTCTCCATCCAAGTCAAAATTTATAAAAGTAAACCTTTATAGGTCAAAGTACGGTCTTCAACACGGAGCCTTGGCTCACACCGAACAGTAAGCTATAAAGGGCCCCAAAAGTTACTAGTGTAAAACCATTCAAACGGGAAAACCAACGGTCTTATCTATATAAAAAACGAGAAACGAGAAACACTTATGAACCACATCAACAAACGACAACTACTGAACATCAGATTCCTGACTTAGGACAGGTGCAAACAAATGCAGCGGTTTTAAACGTTTTAATGGTACCAAACCTTCACCCTTTTTCTGAAACAATAGTGTAACATCACAACATAGAAAGACACACTATAAAATATCAACTGAAATAGCTTAACTCAATCAAAGGACATATTAACACCAGTGAACAAACACTGATCAAATAAATTTGACCTATGATATAATCCCAGTTTTTAAAAAGAAAATTGGATCACATGTTACTTGACCAACAGTGAATGAATGAAGGTATTTTCGGGGGTTAAAAATTACCGTTGCAGTTGGCGCGATTGATGCAACATCTACAGGAATATATCGTCCGAAAATAGAGCCGCAACAGTAATATTTTCCCGGTTACCGACGTTATCAGTATCACTGTATGACGCTCATGTTGTATTAACCCTACAAAATATATGTTATACTCAATCTGGTTTCCTATAGGACAGGACACCAGAACGACCCCAAACAGTTGTGCTAATGCGACAAAAAAAAAAATCAGGAATTTGCTTTTCCCGATCACTGTTTTTGTTAGCAGAAAAAAATTATCCCAACTTTGTATCTTTTAATGACGCCATTTTCACGGCAGCAACTCGTTCAACAACCTGTCAATCTAAAGGTAAAATGCTGCAAATCAATAGACTTTTAACGGAATACAGTGTAAAGATAAAACGAGACACCCAATGAACGAATTTTCTGCAATTGGTGATATCTGTGCAGGCTGAATTTGTCGTCTTCGTCAGCTTTTTTTTTTTTTTTATAAATAACGTATCGTATCATATCATCTATGTATTTATACGTTCTGTTTCACTGACCCCCCCCCCCCCCCCCAAAAAAAATGCTTTACACGTTCCTGTTTTTGTGTAAATGTTTACTATAGTGCATATGTGATAAGCTTTTGTGAGGGAATTCGATGTCCTCATTCTATACTAAATGTTAATTCGAACAAATGTACTCATTGATTTTTTTTTAAATGATAAAACACAACTTAAGGATCTGTATAAGGTTAAAAACTAGAGAATGATGGACGAAATAAATAAAGAATAGAGTCAAATTGCATTAAAAACAAAGAATACAGAAATGAAGACCCCACCCTCCCTGCTCGTCTGCGCAAGGTCGAAATCGTGTGTGTACACAAAAAATAGCATTTTTCAGTCTTATTCAGCTGTGAGTCACTTCATATGGAATTTACTGACACCATATATATCGTATTATAGCTTCGCTCTCATCCCATATGGAATTTACTGACCCCATAAATAGCGTATTAGGTCACTAGCACAATGTGTATCTAATAATATTACTCTTTTAAAATGTTGGTAAATAATAAATTATTAATAATCAAACTTCAGAATATGATTACCCTTCCGGAGCACCTAGTAACTTTAACGGTTATTTGTTTTGTACGAGCTTTATTTTTCTTTTAGTGATATCTTTACATTTGTACTGTCCTTTTATTTTGTTTTGTATACTAATTGTTCGATTTTTGATTTTATCTCCGATATAGGTACTATAAGCATGCCTTAAAAAGGTGTCCTTGATAGAATCTTAATCGGCAAAATGACTGAATTTATGTTCATTTTTATTTCAAATAACATAAATGAACATAAAAGAACCGACAAGAAACAAACAATGAAATACATATGCAATGTATTTTATGAAGTTGACCAAGCGATTGTCCAGGAAATGCCCAAGTACTTGTATAGTAAACGCGCAAGCGATTGTACAGTCAATAAAATATCCGACATTGAGATTATGAATGTATTTGAATTTCTACTGGGACAATGGCTTTGAAACTTTCAGACAGGCAAGACTATATATTAGAAAATGTACATGTGACAATTCTGGTAGCAACGATTGCTTTTTATAATTTTTTTTTGACATTTTTTTATCGTACAGTTCCGTTGGTACATGTTTTATCATCGTCTAATTTATCTGTTTCCAGGATGACTACTGGCTTTGTTACAAAGTGTTTCAATACGATATCGAATCTGTTCATACATATGCCTTAATCGACTTAGGGAGCTGCCATTTGATTTTTATGGGGGGGGGGGGGGCTCGGATGAAAAATTTTGTCCTGCATTTTTTTTTAGTTGTAATCTCTGTCCTGCCATTTTATTTTTCACTCTATTCGGTCCTGCCTTTTTTTTTTTAGTTTATCTTGACTTTTTTTTTACATAAATTGTCATCCTGCCTTTTTTTTTGCAAAGTGTCTCATCCTGCCTTTTTTTTTACTCAAAACTCCTGTCCTGCCTATTTTTTTCAAATTTCATCCTAGCCCCTCTCCCCCCATAAAAATCAAATGGTAGCTCCCTTATTGGCAATGTCAATAGGTTGGTAAGAAAATAATTCAGAATGTTATTATTGGATGAACAAATGAAGAAGACATCAACATTTCCTTGATAAATATCCTGTCAAGTATTGTATACGTTGCCGTAAGAAATTACCCGACAACTCTCTTTAAATAACTTAATATCTTGGATTTCCCAGTGAAAAAAGACAATTGTCCCTTACGAATGCTATACGTAAATGTAGATCAGACAAACAGAAAATTCTTATTTAAACAATTGGAAACATGTTATAGAATGTTTTACGGTCTTGTTTGACCTTACAAGTGTACAGGCACAAATATCACAGATTACCTAGTATATGCTCCACACTGTCGGAGTCACGATTCCGTCAAATTTTTCCGCTTTTATTTCTAATCATTTAATTCATCTCATAGCAGCCTTTTATCTGACATTATAGAACACGACTTTTGCCACTGCGCCGTAGGTTCAATTCACAATTGTCCGTTTATAAATTTCGAAATTACAAAGAAGCTAAGGTTTCAACTCCCTCAGGCAAAGTTGACCTTAGATGGAATTGGCTATTTTTTAGGTCCTTTATTGGTTATATAGCTCTTCAACTGTTTCAGTTCTTATATATCATTGGCTTTCAAATATTCGGCTTTGAGCGTTCTTGAGGAAAGTAAATCCAGAAAAGTGTTTCGGACGCATCTAATTTATAACGTGTTGTTTTCATTTTTCATTGCATGTACGTTAAAACAAAAATTAAAGAGCCATCTTTCTTTACTGGAACATATTTAATTACTCTAGATAGGATTTGAGTAAATCATCCAGATTGGTGAGTTTATTCGCCAAATATCAGCTTTAAGTTTAGGATCAAACCCAATGTCAGTGGTCGAGCTAAACCTTGACCTCACAAAACTGACAAAGATGCACCTGTACTTGGAATTCTGAAGTAAGTGGTTGACCACTTGTTGATTTGAACTCCCTTTACCAGATGTACAAGGGTTGACAACCACGCTTGGTATCATTGGAGCACACAAGATTACTGCTTTCCCATGATGAATTATTTAAAGCATATCATGCAGAATGTTAGATAAGTAGTTCATTGTAAGCTTAGGCCATTGTAAAGTAAGTATTATAAGTAAAGTGCACCCTTTGCCTTCCTTGCCTTCCAGAATATCCAAAAATGTATTATATCCTTGGAATGTAGATGTGTACTGGTATTCGCTTTTACTGTTAAACAACATTTTGTTTTATTGCATCATACTTTCTTACATCTACTTCATTTGAACTTTTGTGGATAGGTGTCTCACTGGCAATCATACCACATCTCCTCATATCTATATTTATTGAAAATTTTAACATTTGTTGGTTGGATACAGAAAGTACCGATACCTTATCCCGGCCTCATTAAACATTGGTAATTAAATAGAACTAGTAAGTGCTTGTTAGTAATCTAAATTCTGAAATATACATTACTATATTATTATGAATCCATTGTCTCCATAGTATTGTTCAATAAAGAAACTCCTATAATTTACAGAAAGCGAAAGAAAAGAGAAAATAATAAATAAATAACAAAAAAATAAATAACAAAAAAAAAAAAAACACGGAAATTTGGATTTTTGGCCACAGTATATATATTCAAAAAAAAGTAAAATCACAAAAATACTGAACTCCAAGGAAAATTCAAAAAGGAAAGTCCCCAATCAAATGGCAAAATCAAAAAAACAAACACATCAAACGAATGGATAACATGTATAAAATGTGTCTGAAAATACAACATTTAACACACCTGGCAAGGATGGTTTTCTGATGTAAAAATTATACAAGCACAAACAGTTATTAAAACATACATGTGGTTATAAGCACAAAAAAGAACAAAAACAAAAACAAAAACACATTTTTTTTTGTCTTTACAGCTAAGTTTAGTACTATTTTTTCTAATACAACATTAAGCATATCTTTCGAGCTTTCGTTTGATAAAAAATATTCGTATATCATTTGGAATAATTGGTCCTTGAGTTTAACAAAGGTTGTCTGAAATTATTTTGTAATTGAGAGATTGTTTTATATGATTCTATTGCTGAAACTACCCCATTATAAGTCAGAAAGTTTGATTTAATTTTTATTAATGTTTTGGAATTGTTGAAATACCATTAGTTTACCCTCTTTTAATTCACCAAAATGTTTTATTGATAATTTTAATGATCATGTAGAAAGTTATATCACAAATATTTTGACTTAATCCATGGCTGTCCTGTTGTTTGTATTTGTTTCGATATTTTGCGGGTGATTAACGGACATTTTATTGCGATATTTGCTAGATTTTTGATTGCATTAGTTCATGAATAGTTTATACAACCTACAGATATTTTAAAAAAAGTTATAGATATGGATAAAACAATTTAACCAAAATGTTTTTCGCGACATGTCTTAACTGGAAATTGTTGTCAAAATGGTACGCAATATTGTAAATCCTGATGATGATAATAAAACAAAAATACAAAATACTTGTATTGGAAGGTCGGTTTCAATTTTCATTGTGTGTGACACTGCGGTAAGAAAAAAAGATCTTACTAGATTCATCAGGTAATTAAGGAAAATTTACAAACATTTTTTAGTAAGCAAAAGTCTTTAATTTGTATACAAAAAAGTAAAAAATACATATACTACATTTGTAACTTTACAATTCATTTCCGGCTAACTACAACTGCTGCTACATGTTCATTCACCCAGGAGTCCACGATTCCTAGTGATGCTCTGTTCAATAAATGTCTTATTTGTTCAATGGTATATTTACAAGATATCCCACCTTCTTCATGCAAGTACAGTTTGTCTCCTTTCTCAAATCTTACTGTCAAATCTAATTTGCCTGCACAAATAAAAGCAGTTTATTTAATAACAAACACAATTTAGTGTAATCCTTTATTTTATGTTGTGTCTTAAATCAATGAAATTAGTTTCAATTTAAAGAGAGAGAGAGAGAGAGAGAGAGAGAGATAATACAATAAGAACAGACAATGTAATGGCCAAAACAAAAACAAATGACGAAAAGACCAGAAAATTTCAAGACATTACACAGAAGAAGATTTAGCAACACGAAACCTTAGTTTATAAATTTATAAACGGACAATATTGGAAAGGTTTGTAATAAATCATGTCAGTACCGAAGTACTGACTACTGAGCTGGTGATACCCTCGGGGACTGATAGTTCATCAGCAGCGGTATAGACTCAGTGCTACACCAATGCTTTCATATTATTATTGATCAAGCGATATGTTATGTGTACCGTTCTTTATAAATTGTGTGCAAGGTGATAGTTTCAATTAAAATTATTCATTATTAATCAATTATGATAAGGAACAACTATTTACCATAATATTTAGGAAAAAAGTTATATTCAAGTTCATTGAATACTTTTAAGTATTTCTGGAAATAAATGTTTCAAGCTATAACTATCAACATTTATCTTGCACTGTAGGCAACTATTATTTGTCATCTTTGTGTAAATATATAGCAAATGCTTATTTCATAAGCAAGTCTTGATAGTCTTAATTGTCAGTTAATTTTCATTTAAAAAAAAACATTGCGTGTACGCTTTGAGGTATATCCGTGTCAATCGACAACTTATGTAATCATGTATTTGAATATTGTATTGATGTATAAGATAAAAACTGCTGTCGTCAAATTTATACGCTTGCAGACGACGTACGATAAAGCGCAATAAATGGAGATTGTTATAGAAAATACTTAAACTTCACTTTCCGCTATATAGATGAAGTCCTCTCACGTAATTATTCAAAGTTCGGTGACTATATTGAACGCATCTATCCCATCGAACTTGAAATCAAGGATACAACAGATAAGTTAATTAATCTGCCTCATATCTTGACAATGAGGGTCGGTTGAGAACAAAACTTTACGATAAAAGAGATCATTTCAGCTTCCAATTTGTGAACTTTCCATTTCTATGTATCAACATTCCAGCAGCACCTGCATATGAAGTCTACGTCTCCCAGTTAATACGATATTCCAAAGCTGACGTTTCATATCACGATTTCCTTGATAGAGGGGTTATGCTCAGAAGGGACTAGACCAAGAGTTCCAAGTGGTGAAGTTGAAATCATCTCTTCGAAAATTTTACCGACGCCATCACGAATTGTTTGACCATTATGGATAATCTGTTTCACAGATGACGACAATTATGTTCCAATCGTCATAACCACATTCCAGTCCTCCTTTTCCCCGAATGTGACCTAAGGAATTAGACTTATCACCGGGTTTGTACTTACATGAGCAACGCGACGGGTGCCACATGCGGAGCAGGATCTGCATATCCTTCCGGAGATCACCTACTGTTTTTGGTTGGTTTTGTGTTGCTCAGTCTTTAGTTTTCTATGTTGTGTTTTGTATTATGTTGTTTGTCTTATGGTCTTTTTATTTGTTTTATTTTGCCATTGCGATGTCAGTTTATTTTCGACATGAGTTTGAATGTCCCTTTGGTAACTTTCGCCTATGTTTTATAAAATGAAAATAAAAGGAGTCATTGTTCAGTTATTGAGCGCTAGCAAAACTTTGTAGGTAACATTTTTGTTTTTGGTTCGACTGTTAAAGTTTTTAGAAGATATCATAATTATGTAAGTATGTTGAGGAATCTTAATATATTTTCTTATCTTACTTACTTATATCAAAGACACAATTATGTCTGGCCTCCATCCATACATTAATATAACTACATTGACTATCTGAAGACTTTACTACTAATTCATTCTTGATTTCAAAGTTGGATATGTCAATATTATCGCCCATTTCTCTGTTAAGGCGATGTATTGAGTTCAGATGGAATTGTTCGTTGTACCCTAGAATACACATATTATTGAGTTCCATTGTTGATGCTTGTTGTTATTCCCCTAGTATTTAGCACATGTTTTTCCGTTAATGTAGGTGGTAGCTCTTTGCAATTGATAAACTGTGTTTAATCTATACTACTAAAATAACGAGGTCCAATTTTTTATCCGGCATGTGGTAAAAACGACAAATCAAAAAGTTCAACTTTATATATATAACTAATATAGGACAATGGTGTTGATTAGAAATTACACCATTCAAGGCCCTTTTTGTTTTTCACATAATTAATATTAACCAATGATTAACAAGTTCTGCGTCGAATCCAATACCGATACCAAATAGTATATGTCACATGTAGTTTGCGGTTGTAGTAAGAAAACCAGGACGGGTTCAAACAGAATTATTTTGAAAGTAGAGAAAACTGTGCACCATATAATCAGCATGGTCATATCAGATGACAATACGAATATTAAAAATACAGGCTAAAATAGGGCGTATGTACTTTAATTCAGTCACGGACCAGCGATGTTCGCGGGCGTGTTCTAGTTATTTATTATAGATTCTGTTCAGAAATAAAAAGCACATTTAGATCAATATTCATATTACGACCTCTGACAAATCACTTTAATGTGACATGTTGTGATTACTTTGCAATCAAATTATACATTACAGGGATAAGTTAAATGGTAAAGTAAAGATTGAAATAATAAGTACCGTCAGGATCTAAGTAAGCACGCTCTATAGTCTGTTTCTGGAACGTGTCTGTGATATCAAAGGTAACCAACAATTTGTCTCCATCTTGTTTAATTGAAATAAAAAAATCTGTGATTTAGAATATAATAATTCAAAGGTTTGTTAGTACAGTGTTCGGGGTTATTCAAGAGTATGTCGCGTTTAGTTATTTGCGATTCTGGTTGACATGTGACCTATGCATTTTACAGTTTGGTCAATGCCACCTGAAAGTATTCAACTTAACCTTTTAAATTACATCACCTGGTCCGGAGAGCCAGTGTAAGCTGTTCTCATTACTTTGAATGCATTATTTGTTTACAGGCGTAAATTTTTCTCAGAACAATCTTCTGTAAAATCAATGAACTAAAATTTGTGTTTACTTACTCTTCTTGTGTCAACTCGAAAATTATACCGGACAATGTGGATCTTTTATCTTTTAAACAGTTTTCCTTAAACAGTTTTCTGTCAAACAACGAGACCACGAGTACTGGAACCATATGTGTGCTCAATATTTCTGTATATTACAAACTATATCTAATGACGAGGACGGCAGACCTAAATTTCCGCGCTGCCTTTCAATAAAACATTTGGTAAAGCTAATTATACTTTTCTCTGATTTTCCCTTAAGATATATTCACCTGACTTTTATTTCCCTTAGATGTATTCACCTGATTTTTAAAAGTAAAGGATTTACACTTTACACGAGCATACACCAAATTTTATGGAAAGAACAAAGTACTAAAATATTGTTACTACAGACAACAAAAACACAGGTACAAATGAAAAATTATAGTAATGAAGGAGCTGAAAGATAGATCAAAGTAAATAATCAGCATATAATAATATATAAAGCATGCCTTATCACAATATAATATAAATTAGATATATTACCTCGCATGGTGTTACGTATTTCAATAAGGTAATCGACCTGAGTTTCATATGGAAGATTCTGCAAGCTTCCAAACCACACAATTAATTTCCTATCTGTAGTAATACTGTAAAATATATCTTCATTCAATGGTTTTGAATACCAAGAAAAATGAACAATAAGAGAAAAAAAAAAGAAACGCTGAAATTAAAGAAGCAACTCTTGTTTTTACTGGAATCATTAAGTTAAAACATGGTTTAGTCTTGTATTGTTGTAGGAGACCGAATTATGAATATAAGGAGATGAGGTATGATTGCCAATGAGGCAACTATCCACCAAAGTTCAAATGAAGTTGATTTAATCAATCATAGGCAACCGTTAGGTCTTCAACAATGAGAAAACACTATACCGTACAGTCGGCTATTAAAGGCCTCATCATGAAATATGAAACAATTCAATTGAGAAAACTAACGGCCTAATTTATAATAAAACAATTTACGAAAAACATTATGATTATGTTCTTTTTTTTGTCGGTTGTCTCTGCTGATTCAGTCTGTGTTTTTTCCCTAGTCTTCTCCACAACTTACATACACGTAGTCTTAGAACTAACTAACACAATGTGTTTTCGTCATCAAGGATACATGTATCAAAAATATTGTATTGCTCAATTTTAACAGGGGAATATGTCACACGTTATCAATATTTACAGAAGTTATTTTATTTTTTGGTTTTATGATTGATTGGTGATTGCTTTACGCCGCATCAGCACTAGATATTCAACACGATGATCTTTGGTATAAGGTTTGTCATGAACTTTTTTATGAGATATTAATATAATAACAAAATTTAATAAATTACCCAATATTTCATTGTTTTTTTTTGTCGTTGTAGTTATACAAAGCGTGTTTTTTATGTGAACATTTCTTGTTTTGAGTCCTTTGCAGAGGAATATGTCACAAGTTATCAATACTTACAGAAGTTAATTTTTTCTTTGGTTTTATTATTAGATATTCAACATGATGATCTTTGAAATAATGTTTGTCATGAACTTTTTTATGATATATTAATTTAATAACAAAATTTAATGAATTTAACAATATCTTATTGTTTTTATTTCATTGTAGTTATACAAATCGTGTAATTTTATGTGAACATTTCTTGTTTTGATTCTTTTGCTTGCTTTTGATTTTACACTTATGTCCTTTTCTAAGATAGACATCTTCGCTAGCCAAGGGTTACGATCCACTTCCCTCCTCTCCACCCTTGGCAGATTGAGATAGAATTTCGGAGACACAAGGTATGATTTTCATTGGTTGCAGTCGAAACTCGCTGCATCCAATCAAAAAGCGCCTATAACATGATCACGTGTAAATGTAGAAAGTGTATGTAAACAATTGCCACGTGCTTATTGTGCAACAAGTCTTTACATCCCAAAACATACGACTATATTTAGTGACAATTTGAATGTTTTTGATCAACTTATAGAAGTTCCTGTGTATGTTTCTTGCACAGATGCATGAATGTCAACGTATATTTTCTTTTCCTGCTTTACCAAGTGTGTAGAATCTAGACGCTATCGTGTTTTTACCTCCAAATTGAAGAGTTCAAGTGCTACCATTGGTCAAGAATAATGTATTCGGAATGGGCGTGACTTTAATCTACCGACAGATGGCGCAACATTGTTATCACAAATGTTGGCTTAATCTGCCAAGGGTGGAGAGGATGGAAGTGGATCGTAACCCTTGGCTAGCGAAGATGTAAGATAGATACTTTTCCCCTATTTATGTTTCATGCATGGGTGATTTCTTACATATCTTATTTGGATAAATGTATGAATATTGTGGATATTCGAATATAACGTTTAAAAATAATTAAAAAATTAATAAAAGGGTACATAATACGCCTATTTCAAAATGAGAAACACACTTCAAGTACTCGCAAAGCGATTTGTGTTCGTACCGACCGACAAAGCAGCCAACAAGGTGATGGCAGTATGACGTAAATACTACACGGAAGTTTTTAAAATATGAAATTATATATTCTTATACATTCAGGTCCGTGCGCTCCACAGAGATTCATAAGATAAACAATCATATGTTTACCACATCTCAGCTTAAGGCCTATTATGAACATTTGAAGGCCCTTCTATGTATTGGTTACCCAAACCACAAAAAAAAAACAAAAAAAAAAAAAAAAAAAAACCCATATTGTTTCATCTCAGCGTTTAGTAAGTGTTCCACAACTAATCTTTCATTGCTTTAACTAGTTCCTTAACTACTTTCAAAGAACTCATCATTAACTTTTGTAATAAAACATATGAAAATAGTGGAATTAACTATTATTGAAGTGCAAAAAATTCTTTGGATGTTTTAGATAAATAAAGTGCTTTTGATGGTCCTTTTAATTCGTTTGACAGTTTCCATTTTTAAACTCTTTACACTACACTTCCTCACAAACTTATCAAACAAAAGTTTTCATAATTAAAATCAAATGGTGGTTTGAAAAATCTGACTGCAAACATACTTGCTGCAACTCATGATCATATCATATAAATCCGCCTTCTCTAACGAAAAAGGTAAATATGCTAGATCTACTTACTGGGGGTGTGATGAGATGATTAGAGCTGTACATTCATATAGTTTATCGACAAGTTGTAGGTATTCCTATGGGCACCAATTACGCCTGTTTAATAGCAGACTTGTTCCTCTGCTGTTTATACAGTTTATAGCCAAACTCAGTAAAGATCCGTCTAAATTTCATTTAGTTGATAAATTCAACAACACTTAAAATTATCTTGATTTTTTTTTCGTTAAAGAGTTCTCTAAATATACTGCCGTAATTTGACCAAAGGAACTTACTTTTAATAAATCATATGTAAACAGCAATTACTGTCCTTTCCTAGATTAAGATTTATCAGTTTTACACAGGAAACCACACACAAATTTACGACTAAAGGAACGATTTTTCGTTCCCTTTTGTCCTTTTGTTAATTTTTCTTTTTTGGACGGCAAATATGTGTTTTGCTCATTGTTGAAGGCTCTACGATGACATATAGTTGTTAGCTTCTACGTCATTTGGTATCTGTAAGCAATCATACCACTACGTCTTATTTATATATATATTTATAGTTAAGATCCATTTATTACACCTTGTCATCCGTTTATTTGGCAATCGCCAATGGCAGTCAGCAGGATTTAAGAACATTTGTTGTTCGACCTGTTAGTCAAATGCGTTTTGTTAAAATATACTTTTTCACTTTTTTGGTCTTTTGGAAAATGTTGTTTGTGCTGTATTTAGACCCCTCTAACAAGAAATTTGTTTTGCATGCACACGTATAAAAATTGCGGTTTTTATCCAACGCAATCATAGGTTTGAACGTTGTTTTCAATTTAGACTTGTTTATATTTTTTC